AAATATGAAGCTTATAGTCAGACACAATTTATTCAGCCCATGTAGTTAAAAGGACAGGTCTGAGAACTGATGTAAAATGGAGGTTGAACCATTAAAATAAATTACAAATCGTCTGTAAAGGATTTTAATAGATTAATGTAACATAATTAAAACAGTTGGGGACTGAGAACAAACTGATATAGGAGTCTGAGAATTTTTTGATAAATCAACATCATATTGGAAATCATCATCACATTGTGCTTCTGTGACTCCCTGTATGGACTGAAGGCTGCTGGAAACCGTCCGGCTGAAACCAGTTAACCAGACTTGACCGCACTTGCAGACCCGTGGACTTTGTGGGCCCGTTCCCAGGAAGTCTGGGAGTGCTTAGGGCCCAAAAGCCACATTTCATCCAGTCCACAAGGGGCCTAAAGTGGACCTTAGGCAGAGTTACAGAGTCCGCTTTTATATCCCACAATTCATTGCAATATGGACGTGACCATGATCATTATGAATATGTGAAATAGTTATTGATAGTTAGGCCTATTAAATGTTACTTGAATCTTGTAGGACAGAAATAATAATAATAATGAATTATGAATAATGAAAGTAATGTCCAATTTATTAAATTATAGTCCTCCTGTCCTTATTCACAAACATTTCTGTTTTTGAACACGTGTAACCTTTATGCTGTATAGAGATCTATTAATAAATTTTTGTTTAGTCACAAAAAAAGCTGTACATGGGATTTATATGTTGTCATCTGCAGTGACAGATGAATAGGCACTGTTCATCAGCTTATATGACATATGAATATGACAGCAGCCATAGCTGAACATTACCACGACAATGGGTAAAATGGTCTCAAATATATCGATATCGATATAGGGTCAAGTTGTGCCACATAATACATATTAGTGTTCATCTCTCCTCTCTCATACTGTCCGCACAGCTGCCTGCGCCCCACTGACACTATATTTCAGAGGATTGTTCAGGATCCATAAAACGTTCGTGCTTTGCAGACGTGCAGATTTACTCCTTCACAGGATTCCCATGGAAAAGCTGAAATTCCTGAATTCCACGAATTGATAGCTATCGTACCATGTATTTGCCTATTACTGGTTTTGTTAATAATTGGGGATAAAAATAGAATTAATTGGAAAAAATAATTGAAAAAAAAGGTAATTGTAAATTGCACAATGCCCTATTGCACTAGATTTAACAATAAAGTGTGAGTGCTTAAGTGCTTCTGAGTTTATTGCATCTTGCCCTATTGCACTATTATCAGACAAATTCAGCGGCTTGAGAGAGCCTGGAACAAATATTTCCATCTGTTACTGGAAAAAAGAAACAAAGTGTGAGCTTGAATTAATAGAGGTAAAGGAACTTGGTTTAAAAAAAATCACTTTAAGTTGCCTTATATATTTTTCATCTCTTTTCTAGGCAATGGTCCTGGCTGTTATAGCTGAACATTCCCTTCCACTCTCGCTCTGGTCCTTGTGGAAATGAGTCAACAACTCAACTCAGCAGACGCGCAGCTACTTTGATCAAGAGCAGAAGGATGTCATCGTTGAACACTTAGATTCTCTTGAAGTAGTGAAAGTCAGTGCTGCCAGTTTAGAGAAGGCCATGTGTGACTTCTTTGAGAGAAACGGATTCCCTGAACAAACCTAGTCAGCATAATGCTGGATTCATGCAACGTGATGAGGGGCAGCAAATTGGGACTTGAGACAAGAATCAGACAGAACCATTGTCCAGCACTGGTGCACAAACTTCATAACCAGCTTCATCAAACCTGACCACCTCAAGATGTCACCCAAAGCACTGATGAAGTTGGACTTGGCAGACCAGACTGTACTCTGTAGCAGAAACACAGGCAGCAGCAGCCCACCCAAAACACCTGGTTAGTGTGAAATAAGTTGGTATTAAGAATGCTTAGTATTAACATTTAAGTGTTAACTAGTATTTGTCATTGGTGTTAACATTGATGTTTACTATTACAGGCCATAATTTCAAGAGTTTTCTATTGAACCTCTGTCTTGTTGATCTGAGGAGATTCAATAGAATTTCTTGGCACAGGCCTTAAGATTAAATAGAAATTCTTAGGCCTTTGTAGCGTGGTTAATGACAAAGTACTTAGGAATTAAATTATTTGCATTGGAGTCCCTTGCATATTACAAAGTGTTTACTGTGGCCAAAATTGTTTACAGAAGCACAAAGCTCTGCATATATCTAGCCTCATAAATGTGCTCTCCAAGTGCACCAGATTTGCCCCTTTGCCCCACTAGAGGTTCGGAGGCTCTCTCTTTTTTCACTATACCTGTGTTTGCATCCCTGATATCTCATCCTCTTAATCACTTGCTCTGGAGACGCATTTGACCTGAAACAAGTACCTAATGTCAGGAAATTCTAATACGGAAACCATTTTTAACGAGAAAGTATTGGAAAAACTATCTACATGTCTGTATACCATGCAACACTAGTACACAGGGTTGGGAAGCACCTAATTATGTAATTTGGATTAAACTGTCATATTTATTGACATGCAATACATTAGTCAGTTTAAAACAAAAGTCGCTCTTTATGTTGATAGGAGCCTGCAGCCGGTACTATGAGCATGTGAAGCGGGAGTTAAAGCTTCAAGCTGAAAACAAGATGGAGGAGGATCGCAGGGCCGAAGCTCTGAACAACAGGAGACACTGGATAAGTTGACACTGGATAAGAATCATATATGGAAATTTAATGAAAATCTGCAGCTTTATAATGTAATAATCCCACAAACCTATTAACAGTCGCTTACACAAACGCAATGCCTCATGTCCCACAAACACCATTTATTCTTCGCATCTGCATAAACAAAGCATGCTGTAATCTATTACCTACTGCAGCTGCGCTCACTTTTGTGTATCTCCCTCTTATGGTGAACATGAGGAACTGCACTCTACTGATACTGCAAGTCCAAAGGGGTAACTAGAGCACAGTAATTCTGTTTTAATAAATAAAATAAAATGAAATGATGCAACTGACTTAAATGAAATGATAAAATGACCTACAATAAAATTACGTGGTTTGACAGAAACAGGTTGTCATTAAAGTTGAACAAGATAAAAATAATGTTATTTGGTAATTGTAGAATGAATACACAGGTCACTGAAATTGGAAAAGTTAATGAAATTAAATTTCTGGGAGTAATTATAGATGACAGAATTAGCTGGAAATTACATATCAAACATGTACAGAATAAAGTTACAAGAAGTATTGCAATAATAAACAAAGCAAAGATGGTTTTAGATCAGAAATCACTCCACACCATATACTGTTCTTTAGTCTCACCTTACTTACAGTACTGTGCTGAGGTTTGGGCCAACAACTACAAAACCACGCTATCTCCTCTTAACTATTCTTCAAAAAAGAGCTATACAAATTATTCACAAAGTTGGTTACCTGGAACACAACTCTTAAAAATTGTTTTCTGTTTCAGCTTCTTAATGCACAAAGGGCTGAGGCAGAGAAACTATTGACTGAGGAGGAGTACAGGTACTTGAAGGATGTCCCTGAATGCCTCATGAGTGATGAAGAGACTGATGAGGAGGATAAACAGACATGGAGAGTCAGCCAACCTGAGAGGAGAGCCACCAGGCTGACTGAAATTTTGCGGGGGTGTCGAGAGAAGTTGGTCGGGTAGCAGAATAGCTCCAACAGGATGGTCCATTTGAAGGAAGACTAGGGATGGTAACTGAGAAACTCTTAAAAATAAAAAAGTTTTTCCCAAGAATTTGTGACTTTAGAAAGAAAAAGTTATATCATATTCTTTGAGCAAGTGAAGACAGTGTGTAGGTGTCTGTTCTGTCTTTCAAGGTTTGAAAAGTGCTTAAATTAATTGCTTTGCTTTCATAATAAATCACTCTCCGACCCTGAATCTTTTCACATAAGGGCCTTAAACAAAGGGAAGTCATATTATATTGACATCACTTCCCAGTGAAGGATCACCTGCATGCAAAATATTTATTTACTTATTGTGAACAGATTAAAGAGAACAGCTGCGCTCACTACAGTATATGCAGTTGCCTGAAAATCCATCAATGCCATTTTGCTGGATCTACAATTTTTGTGATACATAAATCTGGTATTCTAAAACAAGATTTGTAGTTGAGCGCAGACCCTATGCACATCGCCTACATCGTGAGCATTTTTACTTCTGCATTTGGTGTGTCTGTGTCACTCTGCAGTTACACCTCCAAAACACTAGTTGGCGGCGGAGGTTTCTGTGAAGTGCCGTTAAGTTTAGTTGATTCAAAACACACATTGAACACACATTAGACCTAATAGAGACAGTTTCAAACACAAATACACAAATCAGCTTCACTATAACTCGCAGCATTCACAAACACTTGTCTTTATCTGGACACATTTTCCCCACAAATACAACATGCTAACGCTATTAGCACAAGCCAATGGCATTTTACATTGTATAAATTAGCCTAGCAGCTAGCAGACTTTTCCTCTTCTCATAAAACCAGGGACAACAGTGACATTTGACAAAGGTGACGACACACAATTTGACTCCATTACAACTCAAAAAGTTCACTGACAAAACAACTGTCTTATACTAAACATGTTTTCCAAACAAATACAAAATGCTAACGTTAGAACAAGTCTATGGCATTTTACATTGTATAAATTAGCCTAGCAACTAGAAAACTTTTCCTCTTCTCATATAAAACCAGGAACAACAGCAACATTTAACAAAGGTAACGGCACACAATTAGGCTCTATTATAACTCAAGAGTTCACTGACAAAACAACTGTCTTATACTAACAAATTCAACATGCTAACGTTATTAGCACAAGCCTATGGTATTTTACATTGCATAAATTAGCCTAGCGGCCTGCGATCTTTCTCTTCTCATATAAAACCAGGGACGACAGCAACATTTGACGAAGGTATGGACACACAATTTGGCTCCATTATAACTAGCGAGGTTCACCGACAAAACATACAAAACATGTATCCAAAGAAATACAGAATGCTAGTATAAGTGATGAACTTTTACTCCTCTATTCTGAACCTATCCAACTAACGAAGGCAGCAAGTACTAGCCAATCAAAGGGAGGAGGAGTGTGAGTCATGCCTTTGCTATCCAAGGAAACATAAATTCACAAGCGGGTCCTCCATGTTGTTTCTACTGTAGCCGAAAATGGACAGACTAAACGGTGCTGGGTAGGGTCATTCATGTTTTTGCGTTTCAGTTGGTTGCAATTTGCAACCTCACCACTAGATGCCACTATATTCCACACAGTAGACCTTCAAGTGTTGGAATCATCATGCACCAGTCAAACATCTTTTTCTGGCTTTTATTTACATCTATAAATGACAAAATTATATACAGTAAAGTATTTACAAAAAGAGGTGGAACATATGTACGTAATGTTTACATGCAGGAAAAGAGTGAAAAAATAGCCAAAACATGACTCAGTTGTGCGCAATATTAAATAGAATATTGCAAAAAAAAAACTACTCTCAATTTCATGTTTTGAAGAGAGGTTTAAAACATGGATGTTTGACTTTATTTATATGTTTTAAAAAAGCAATCTGCACTGTAATTAAGCTGCATTTCCAGGCTTTCCTAGGAGTAAGTGTTGTGTATTGTAACGTTGCATCTCCTGGTGGGGGTAAGTCTTTGTTGTACCACTCAGATGGGCATTTTGAGGAGGGCGCACTCTGTCAGTAGCGTCAGGGTGGTGATCATGTATTTACTGTTGGAGATCTGAAACAAAAGGAAACCGATATGAGTACAGTTACATTCACAGTGTGTGTTGAAAGCATTTTCTGTTTCTGTCAGATGGTACCTTGATCCTGCCGCTGTATTTGGCTGAGCCCAGTGCTGTGGAGACCTGGTTCAGGCTGCCCGCTGACAGATCCAGTCTGAAGTGTCTGTAGAAGTGGCTCTTCAGCCCCTGCATGAACCTCACCACCTCCTCAATGTCGATACTGCTCTCCTCCTCTGCCTCCTCCCCTCCTTCATTCTCCTTCTCCTTCCTCACACTGCACCACAGGTCCCAGGCGTCCTCAGGTCGAACTGTGTAGGTGACCTGCAGCAGTGGCGTAACTGGAAGTGTCCAAATCATTTTGAGGTGTTGTAAGCTGGACTCAGTGTGGCAGTTCGTCCATAACGCCATCAGCCATTGTAAACTCATGTGGCTGATTTCCAGGGGGCCGAAGCAGCAGTCGAAGGACTGCTGGAACCAAGATTTGACCAAAGATGTGAGACCCTCTGCCCCGCTGCTGCCGAAGAGTGGCAGACAGATGAAGTCCTTTGGCAGTGAGCGCAGGTAATCGGGGTTGCCGTTGATGCAGGTGAGCCAGCCGCTCCAGACTGGCTTCTGTGGCTCGTCCTGCCTGGCAAACAAAGGCTTTGAGTGGATCTGTGGAAGGAACGGGAACAGTTAGTTTCACACACAGAACACAAGGCATATTAATCTACACAAATACAGTTGGTAACTTTTCAGACACATGTTTTAGTGTACTGTTTATAATAAATTCTGTGACCTGGCCGCCATGTTGGAAACAGTTAACAGAAGTACCAAGCATCGCCCACCATCAAGACCAATGTTTTCATTCTACAGCTAAACAGTACACTAAAATATGTTCCTGAAAACATTTGAGGAGAGAAACAGGCAGTGCAGTAACAGAATCTCAATATACTGCCAATTTGTTGCACATACCCACATCCACCTGGAAAGCTTCTCCTGCCTCTACAGAACCCACGTTCTCACCTGTATGAGGACCATTTCTGCGTCATCGTCTGACTGTGCCATCCCCTGCACCAACGAGAAGGAGGCTCTGAAGGGTTTCTGTGGTCCCTCCACCTCCACTGCCAAACCTTGCTGCTTCTCTGCGGCAATGAACGCCGAGAGCTGCCTGGAGTAGCTCTTCAGCTGAGTGTGTCTGAACTGATAGAGAGGAGTGACGTACGACAGCTGCCACTCCGTTTTCACCAGCAAGGCCAGCTGCTCCAAATTCACCTTCTCCTTTGACAGACAGGAGAACAGAGACGATGAGCATCCTGTGTCACCTTGACATTTATTACATGTGTGTGATAATTGCCTGGGTTGACTCACAGTGATGTTGTGTGACTTTGGAGCCCGTCTGCTGGTGTTGAGCCTGCGCGCCGTCAACGCTGGGGTCAAGCCGAGACGTGAGGCAGCACCCAAGCAGCTGCGGTATGACAGCCGGTAGCTCCTGGTTTTGCTCCTCCTCTGGACTACAACACTGTTGAGAGGAGTCCTTGTCACACTGAAACACACACAGAGCATCACATCAGCTTCATCAGGTCTAAGTCCCACAGGGTGAAACAGAGGGGTCTCAAAAGATTGACTATGGTGCAGTGTTACTGAAAGATCACTTGGTCCCACAGTAATAAGCATACAGAGCAAAACCCTGCTAAGACTTCTGCTTCCTCATGCTGTTACAGAGAAACCACTATAATGTTACTGTACGTTACTGCAATATTATAACTTGAATTTTAAAACGAAACATAAGGTAAAGCTGCACTCAATCGGAAAACAACAGCTTCATTACCACTATTCTAGCTGACGACTTGGTAGAAATGAGGGGAGGGACAGTTACAAAATGTGAAATTTAGCTTTATAACAGTGCTCCACTAGGCACGGGATACATGCCGAATTAAAAAATGGAGGCAAATGATTCGTAAAATGTCTTGTATGTAATTATGTGAGATGGGTATCTCTCATTAAAAGCAAGGCAACATTAAAATACTCGATTACTGAATGTAATTTGGCGTGACAGTTTGTTTATACGGACGACAACGGCGAGTATCGGTGCTACGAGAGCCGTAACTCACTGTTAGGTTGTTTCGTAGTCAAACATACTTTTAAAAAATATATTTTAATACGAAATATAAAGTTTTACCTGCTGGGTTGTCGCTCCATGTTTGGCGTACCGGCTGAAGCCCTCAATTTTAGCTCTTTGGCCATGGTGGCCGAGGCAGAAAGAAACCGGAAACAGATTTAAACATCGCGCTTTCCCAGGAGTCTGCGCGGTTAAAATCAGCCAATCACGCGAAGCCAAACAGGAAGTGTTTTTATTTTTATTTTTTTCCGAACGTTTAAGGAAAATATGAAAAGTTTTACGTGTAATACGAAATTGAATAAGCGTAAAGTTGAAAATAAAAATAAAAATGGAAGGATAAGCACAAAAATAACAAAATTAATTAATTAAACTAATTATTTTTATAATTGTTTAATCAATCAAATGCTATTTGTTCAGTTGCGTTTCCCGCATCACACTTACTGTTAGCTAGTTTTTTGTTATTTTTAACCTTCTTTTGACTAGTTCTTATATTTTACATCTTACTGTTATCTAGTTTATATTAAGTTTATATTTGCAATACATTTGCATTCTCTTTTTTTTTATACTATTTTAGTCCTTGTATATTGCTGCTTTGGATCAGCACTCCTCTAACTTTATATTGAAACAGCTACACAGCAATTTTCCTTGGGATGAATTAAGTTTTATCTTATCTTAATTTTATGTTTCACCTCTTATGATGTTAGATTTTGCTGCTTAACCACAGGCTTGAAATACATTGGTTGCAACCTGAGCTTTGTGGCTGAAATTGTGCACAAACTGAGCCAATTAAATGTCTCATTTTTCGACACAGAGCTGCTCCCCTCCCCTTTTTCTTTGTGTCTTCTTGGGATGTTGCCAGTCGTCACCTACTTCAGATAACACCTCAGTATGAGAGAACCTTATGGTACAGTAATGTATGGATATGATACAACCTGAACAGACAAATGTTTTATGGCAGAACTGTAAATCAAAACATTATATTTTAGCATTAAGGATAAGGTAAGGGTTAGTTTTAAGTTAAGGCTTGGGTTAAGGGTGGGGTTAAGGTTCCTTGGAATCAGTGTAAGTCAATGCACCATCCTCCTAAGTGACAAAAATAAGTGTGTGTATTTGTATTGGTGTGTGCGCATGTTCCACTGGCACAGTTTCACATGCAACCACCAAAACCATTCCCCTCCCTGTTACCATGGAAACTGTGCCCTTTCCTTTTTTCTCCCCCCATCTATGGTGCTTTCCCATTCTCCTTCTAGTGGCCTTTTCTTTCTCTCCTTTTATAGCATACTCTATCCTCCATATTTACAGTCTTGCATTTGCCCTCACCCTACATGTGTGTGAACCTGTGTCTATGTGTGTATGCCTGTGTTGCAGGTACCTTTGTATTGAATGAAGGCTTCAATAGCACATACATTGCCATACATACAGTATGATGACCACATCAACAGCCAATCGGGTTATGGGTAGCTGCTGGTGGGCTTCAACCAATGGGGGAGGCTCGCAGATGATGTGTGAGCAGAGGGGATGCAGCACCATGGAAACTGAGAGGGTGCCATAAGAGAACAGCGCGCTCTAGTGGCACCTGATGTCTTTGTTTATCCCCGTCTGTATGGATGGGTTCACCATTCTGCTTGAGAGAACTTCAACTGCCTTTGTGATACTTGTTTACTTGTTTTCCAGCTCACATTTTTTTTCTGAGTTACGTTTGTGTCTCTGATGGGCACTGGGGAACAGGCTAGGCTGATATGTCCTCATTATTCAATATAATTTCATTAATGTGGGAGTTTATTTTAACCTGGGGGTGCTGAATAGGTAGGGTTTTTTTTTACTGACATTTGGCACAGCTGGATCAAACAAAATAACACTTACATAGCTGCATCACATACTTTAAATTATTATTTAAATTTTTATTCAATCATAACCTTAAAACTGAAAATGTAACCACACACATCTTTTTTTGGAAAATCAGTTTGAAGGTTTGTTTGTAGCCGTACTTTGTGAAATAATATTGAAGGAACATAAACATATGTTTGTTTCCTATGCACATTACTCATGAAAAAGAGAGTAAAAATGGATGAAGTTAGGCCATTGTTCTTTTAAAGACATGGATGGATTACTGAACGGGCCTAGCTGCCAACAGGCCCAGGGGCTCAGATTGTCAGGGCCGCCCTGGCCTTCACCTGCAAAATGTAACTCAAAGAGACATGACTAGAAAGAGTCTCAAAATTGCTACAAAAAGAGGCAAAGGAACTGCACAGGGGCGCAAAACAACTACAAAAGCAGCAAAACAACCACAAAGTGACATCACAGAGACACAGAATGACAACAAGGGGTAAAACAACCACTAGGAGACATGAAATGACAACAAAAAGGGGCAAAACAATGACAAAGAGACACACAAAATGGCCACAAAGAGACACAAAACAACCACAAAGAGACACGAAATGACGTCAAAGACACACAAAATTACATCAAGGAGCAAAACAACCACAAAGAGACACACAATGACCTCAAAGAGACACAAAATGACAACAAGGGGCAAAATAACCACAAAGACACACAAAACAACCACAAACAGACAAAATGACCACAAAGAGACACAAAATGACAACAACAAGGGGCAAAACAACCACAAAGACACACAAAACAACCACAAAGACACAAAAAGACCACAAAGAGACACAAAATGACAAGAACAAGGGGCAAAATAACCACAAAGACACACGAAACGACCACAAAGAGACACAGAATGACAACAATAAGGGGCAAAACAACCACAAAACAACCACAAAGACACAGAACGACCACAAAGAGACACAAAATGACAAGAACAAGGGGCAAAATAACCACAAAGACACACAAAACAACTTTAAAGAGGCATAAAATGACCTCAAAGAGACACAAAATGACAACAAGGGGCAAAACAACTACAAATACACACAACAACAACAACAACAACAAAGACACACAAAACAACCACAAAGATACACAAAATGACCTCAAAGAGACACAAAATGACAACAAAGAGACACAAAATTACATCAAAGAGACGGAAAATGACAACAAGGAGCAAAACAACTGCAAAGAGACACAAAATGACAACAAAGACACACAAAATTACATCAAAGAGACACAAAACGACCACAAAGAGATACAAAATTACATCAAAGAGACACAAAATTACATCAAAGAGACACAAAATGACAACAAGGAGCAAAACAACTACAAAGAGACACAAAATGACAACAGAGACACACAAAATTACATCAAAGAGACACAAAACGACCACAAAGAGATACAAAATTACATCAAAGAGACACAAAACGACCACAAAGAGATACAAAATTACATCAAACAGACACAAAATTACATCAAAGAGACACAAAATTATATCAAAGAGACACAAAATGACAACAAGGAGCAAAACAACCACAAAGAGACACAAAACGACAACAGAGACACAAAATTACATCAAAGAGATACAAAATGGCAACAAAAGGGGGAAAACAGCCACAACGAGGTGGTGGTGGTGGGGGCCTTTCCCAATCTGTGCCCAGGGGCCCACTGTCTCATTATCTGCCCATGGTTAAGAGTGACTTTATTCTTGTTTATATTTTTTGCCTTGTTGTAAAAAAATCTCAGTTATAGAGCAACCTCTCTGTCATGTTAAAATGTACTGTACTTCATCAGAGGATGCCCCAAAATGGAGCAGTGGGAGTTGCATGATCCCTTCCATCACCTCCAGGGGGCATCACCAACACATCTCAGGGCAGGTCTCCCACACCTGAGGTAATTCCACCTGCGTCCCTGCACCTGCCACCTGCACCAGAGCACCTCCTGCACCTGCAGAAAGATTACATGAAAGTAATTCGACTTAATCCGCACATAATTACAAACTAATCGCCTCTAACGCAGCTCTCCAGAGCCTTTTGCCCAAAAATGTTACCTATTTGAGAAGAGAAAAGGCTCGAGATTGAGTTGAAGATCATAATACCTTAATCACCTGTGTCAATATCGCATTGTCAGACAATAAAGACACTAAGCTGTGCCTTATTTTCCCTGAGGATCCATGGGAATATGCAGGCTTCCCTGTTTTTATTCAGTGTTGACAGCCAACGTGTGGGAAATACGTTATTACTGTCAGAGGAGACAACACAGAGGAATAAACTGCATGTTAAAGGGATGGAGATAAGAAGGGGAAAGACTGACGTAAGGTGATGGGGCTTGGATGGTCGACGCTTGCGCGGGATACACTGGATGCAACCGTTAGAGGAGATTAGGAAACTGCGCCTAAATCGGCCCCCCATCAGACGCCATTTTGGCTCAAGCTAGGCTAAGAAACACGAGTCTGGGCCCACTCTCCGGCGCCATTTCGGCTTTGGCCGGCCCAGTTTCCTGGACCATAGAGGGAGGAGCCTAGCATTTCTGGAAGTCGGAGGAACAGCCAGTCAAAGCCAGCCAGCATCTGAACCAGCGTAGGAACTGGAGCAGCGGTGGACGAAGGGTCGGCTGTGTTGGAATACGATATAATTTTAATATCCACGAGCACAGACGGTGAATGCAGCAGAGTAGTCGTCGACATGCACGCGAGGGTTTTCCATTTGGGTCCGGGGAGCTGAAGCATAGTGCAGCCCGGACACATTACGTTTTCGGTGGGATAAGCCATCTGTGATACACTGGGTGTGCACGGCGCAATAACGGCGCGAGACAACCGGTTATTCCATCGACAGCTAGCTCACACTAACACAGCTAGCCAACCATTTTCCGAGCGCCCCGATAGCTTGCGGTGAAGCGAGCATCTCGGTCGGTGCGGGACGTGTCCGTAGATGCTGCTGAGGGAGCCCTGTGTCTGGCAGTACCCGACAGTAAGATACAAACCCGAGGCATGCAAAGAGGGGTGTTTTTCTGCAAACGAGCGAGGAAATCTCCACGCCCCGGGCTCTGCTCTGTGGCTACTATTTAGCTAGCTCGCTGGCTAGCCAGCCTACCGGGAGAGTTAGCTGAAGAGAAGGTGGGGCCGCGGAGTGACAGCCTTGGACGCCAGCTAATGTGGCTAGCCGGCTAACTTGGACTCTTGAGTGGCCACTCGTTTACCAGTCACTGACATTGAGAGGGGTGTAAATTACCAAGTGTGCAGTTTGGCTCCAAAGAAAACAAGTTATTATTGATTCCTCCAAAATCCGTGTGGGTGGGCTATCTTGAGGAGAGCATCCTCGTCTACCTGTATGACCATGGCGGACGACGACGTGCTGTTCGAGGATGTCTACGAGCTGTGTGAGGTGATTGGCAAGTGAGTACAGCTATCACACACTTTAATTGTTATATTGTCTCTGAATACTGTGGGTGTTTGACATTATTTTCTGTTGTTGCACACACACTGCACAGCTGCAAGGGCCATGCTTAATTGGCTGTAGGCCTGCAGGTGTGTCAGGTGGGAAGTTCAGTGGGTGGGTGAGCTGAAATATGGTCTAATAGCAAGTCCTTAATTTCCTGATACACCAGGAGTTAGACGGTGCCTGACATCAAGTTTTCAGTGCAGGAAAGTGAACTGTATCAGACATGAGCTTCTTTGATTACAGGTGTAAAAGGTGGAGTAGCACAGGTGTTTACAGTAGGAAAAACTACCATTCATTGCAGCTGCTGAACAAATAAATTCCCATTCCTAGCTGACAGCCTGGCAGTCTGGGTTTGAGACACCGGACATGTGGTCAAATCATCTGGCTGCACATCTGAAATGTCTGCAGACAGGATTTTCCCTCTCCTAATCCCCCTGTTTGACAGCACCCACACCTGCATACAGCTAGACTGGCACGCCGGTCAAACTGTGCAAGAGGTTGGCGTAGGTTTTTTAATACAACAGTGGAATTGTCACAGTATGCTTGTACTGTTGTGTGGTCGGAGACAGCGTCCCAGCTCCTGCTGTAAGTGAAGCGGGAATGCTGACAAGCCCATCACAGTCCTGGGCTACCAGTCAGTCCCCTCCCCCCTGCAAGCTTCGCTCACTGGAGGGTCCATTAAATTTGTTTTAGGGCAAAGAAGCACATTCTCTCCAGACCCTCAGGCCCTGCTCTATATCCCGAGACTTCCTGTTGTCTTGGTTACTAATTGATGGTTGTCCAGGACCACTACCTTGGAGGCCCAGTAATAGATATGAGGAGCCACTGGGGAGAGTCAGTGTGGAAAAAGTGCATACTGTCTTCAAGTGTGTGTGGTTTAATTTTACCCTACGAATCAACTGGAGTGGTAAATACAGGGAAGGTATGTTTCTCCATTTTGATTTTCTTTGCTCGATCTTAGGTGTGATTCAAACAATATTTACGCCTTTTGGTAGTTTGTTTTATTCACCTTCGTTGCCAGATGAGCAGAGCTTTCCACTTGCAACAGATGCCACCTTCTTAGAGCTGCAGCGATCAGTCGATTTAAGTGATTAGTCCATCGAAAGAAAAGCAGCCGCCAATTAATTTGATAATTTATTAATAGTCATTTTTTAAGCAAAATGTCAAACATTTGTTGGTTTCTAACTTCTTAAATGTGAGAATTCGCTGCCTTTTCTTCACATTTATGATGGTAAATGAAGAGCCTTTGGGTTCTGGACTGGGGCTGCAACTAGGCTAACGATTATTTTCATTGTCGACTAATCTGCTGATTATTTCTCCGATCAGTCGACTAATTATTTTATCGAAAAATGTGTTAAAATGTTGAAAAATGTCAGCCTGTCTCTCCCAAATCTCAAAATTAGGTCATCGAATGTCTTGTTTCGTACTCACGCCAAAGTGTTTTAGTTCACCGTCATGGGAGAGTGTGTAAAGCTGCCAATACTTGAATGTAAGAAGCTGCAATAAGAGTATTTTGGGTACTTTTATAGTACTTTTCTAGGACAAATGTCTCAAACCGATTGGTCGACCACTAAAATAGTCACCAATTATTTTACTAGTCGATTAGTCGACTAATTGTTGCAGCCATATTCTGGACTGTTGGCTGGACAGAAGAAGAAACTTGAAGATGTCATTTTGGGGTGATTTATAGACAAAAGGATCCTTAGTTGCTTCCAAATGTCTTTTTGGCAATCACCAGCCTACATGGAAATACCTGCACGTCCCGCGTGTAGTGCCACATTTATGGAGGTAATACATCCAGGCTTCATTTTATAGCCAAAATGCAGTAGCCTCTACCTCAGTGTGGCTGTAAACAAACACTGAGACATGCTGTAAATACTGCTTCAGGGTTTTGAGCAGTTGGTACGGTCACGCAGTCCGGACAGGTCAGTAGAATAGTAACACACGAGCGAACAATAGTTCGGAGCATATTTTAAGCTTTAGTAAAGACAAGAGATGCCACATTGATGTCACAGAAAAGACCAGTAAATCCCTCTTATCCTGCCAGTTCTTTAGCGAAACTGCAGTTGATGGATCAAGTGTGTTGAGTCCTGGTGTCTTGGGATGTGTTGCAGGAGGAAGAGGGGGATCATTTTTCCTCAGCCCCGAGGTGGGAGGGGAAGGGAGGCTGAGGCAGATCAATGGAGACAAGTGGAGTTGGGAATGGGATGGCCCTCAGGCTAAGGATATAAATAATGCCAGCAGACATTGACTGCAGCACTCTGCCATCTCCCACTTTGTTTTTAACCTCGTGTTTTACTGTTAGCGCTACTGTAGGTAGTGGACGGCGTGGCAGGCAGCTGAAACCAGAGGATGTTAATTAATTGGAGTTTGGAAATGCTTTATAGCCACAGGAAGCAGTCAGAAAAACCCAATTCCATGTTATCTTCTTTGGTTAGAGAGTTTTCCTGCTCCTGCATTTTAGCCTAAGTATGTTTTTTTAACAGAGGCCAGGACATTTGGGAGTATAAGGGGATGGCAAGAATTATCTCAACACAAAATGATGTGTTTGCCTTAATGGAGTGACAGTACTGTGTCAAAGAGACCTCCTCCAGAGTTTCAGTACTTTGTTTTTCCATGTCATCCACCTTAAATGAACTTTTCGAGCTGATGTTTTCTGACTCACTCTGTTAGTTTAGAAATATTGACCCAAAACGAAATATTTTGAGGCTGGATATTGTTAAAAAAATGACGATACCAGTACCAGTACAAATCCCCCTAAAGTTATACAGATACCAATAGAGTACTCCATTCGACACCCTATTCATTCAAGACACATCATGTGATTGGAAGCATTGCATTGTGTAAAATGGCACCTGATGCGACATGCGTGCAGTATAGCCGAACTTTTGAATGTTCTGGTGGCATCTCAACACGAAGTTTAAATTGATTAAATTGAAGAATGCTTGAGGTGATTGGCTGCGAGCAAAACCATACAAATGATCAAATGCAGGTATCAGGGGTTAAATTAACGGCTAATAAGTTTGTTGTAATTAGGTACCTCCTGCTATATAATGCAAGAGTTGTCATGGTGATTTGTCCCACATTACTGGATGATCTTGTTGCCGTTGTTAATTCGCGTGTCTCTTGCTCACCTCTGACCTCGGCTCCTTTCAAACTTGTACATAAACCCTATTATCCAGTCCGTCCCTCCTTCAGACTTCTATTGTTGCTCAGAGAAGTCGTCTATTATTGTCCCTGATCGGCTTGTGTCGGAGAGGAGCAGCCTGGCTGGGTGGGATTGAGAGCACTGGGGAGGCCATCACTGCTCAGTAATCATCTCCTTTGAACTCGGATTTTAAAGGGAGCCATGTTTAGGGTGATTTCAACTGAAAGACGGTCAGTAATTTAATTTGGAGAAAGCTTTTTTTGTATGAAGTATGTATTTTGTCTTTGAACACATTTTCCTGTTATTGTCTTCATGATTAGTTTGTTCAAAAAGTAACCTGCCTCTGTGAAAGTATAGAACTTCGAGTTTAGCTTGTTTTTTAGACACTGTGTGAATGCACACAAAATGAGCTCCTTGTCCACCGAGATCGTCTCCTTTCTGTCGTCTCATTATTTTCGACAGAAAGATGTGCTTTTGCATTGCAGACAGCACCGAGAGCTTACCGAGGTTTCAGGACTGAGAGCCTCAGAACAAAAAGTCAAGAATATTTGAACTTTCAGCAAGTCGGACCCCTGATTCATCAGGGCTTAGAGTTGCATGGCAACAGCACAAACTGCATATGACTGTGTAGCATGGCTATAAAGAGACACATGGACGCTCTGATTTTACAGCTCATGCATACAAATGTCCATCCATCTCCTGTGTGGTTATACTAGCCGTGTTTCAATAGAGGAAGATCAAACAGGTCAGGTGTCAATTCAACTTCTGACTGGATTAACTCTGGTGAAAGATGACACGAGCTATTGACCAGGCGTGGGCAGCACAGGCCCGACTCATTATATGCTCATTGTTTGTAGTTTACATAGTAAGTTTGTGATGCTGATGTGATGTGAACATAATGTACTAACCACAGGCCTGTTTTTGAGATTCCAGCTCTCGTTGAAGTGTTGGCAAAGCACTGAAGCAATTTAATCCATTTCTGTCTGTAATGGTTCAGTTTGAATAGGATTTAGGTTGTTGAGAAGCACTATTGGAGTCACAGTGCTCTTTATTTCAGCCCTGGGGTGCTCATTAGAGCCAAGGATATTGGGATGTGCGACTCACTCGAAACCAATGGAGTGATCAGCCCCTTGGCTTATTCAGAGTTGGATAATTAAATTGCTTGGACGACATTTAAATCTTAAATTTTCATTGATTGTTTGATAGTTTTTAGTGGTTTAATGAAAGTTTCTCCTCAAATGATGAAACCCTTAGCATACAGATCTTACACAAAATGCTGGTCTGCAGGAAGGCCGAATCTGCTTCCACTTGTCTTACAGGAGACCTTTTTTGTGTTTGTGTTTGTCTCAGATTTTCTATTGCTCTGAGTATTTCAGACCGTTTTTTCTACTCTGGCTACAGTATGACATCATTGTGTGCTGGATTTCTTAACATACTCCAGACACGCTACTGCAAGTGTGGACTTTATGTAGCCTATACTGCTACATGAAGCTATAAGCTAACATCAGGGAAACATGTAACGCTGCTTGCTGATGTTGAAAATATCTCCCAAATTTTGTATTGCATTCCAGTTGTGTTTAGAGTGTTTGTTGGTGATTTTTCACTGTAAAAATTGTCACTATTCTCCTTTACAGTTATTCTCTGGTAGCACTGATGGAGCACACCATGCCCCCAGGAAGTGTGACGGTCTTTAAGGCCAATTTTTCATAGTGATTGTCAGTGGAGTTACAACTACCAAGTCTGTCACATGATGCCACTGGGCCCAAAAAGACTTTTTCCCATAGACTTTGACATTCAATCTATTCA